TAAACAAAATGGACTGACAGTTATCAATGCCTCTGTTCAATACTTTGCTTCAGAACCAAACATCTTGAGTTAGAGTAGGTCAGATACAAGGACCGGACTGAAACTGAATGGAAAAAAAAAAACACACCCAATGAATAACTCTGAAAGACCTTCAGAATTCCTGGAGAACTGTGGCTTAAGGGCAATTAAAAAAAATTACCGTACAAGTCTGGGCCTTTTTAAATAAAACATAAATTATTAATGACTCGAGACTTTTGCACGGTATTGTATTAAACACAACTAAGAATCAGTTTGTTTTTTGCGTTATCCTGTAAGTTTATGGTGAGACATGTTATAGATATGACACAATTTGTACTTTAGTTTTCTTACATCATTTTCCATCGCATCAATCACTTCCTCTAAACCTTCTGCCTTGGGTGCATTTGTGTCCACAGTGGCTTCATCTTCTGAAAACACACAGCAGAAAACACGGTTATGCTCTTTTCGCATGCACATTTGAGTGGATGACTTTCTGCATGTGTATGAATGTAAAATATACCTTTTACTTTGTAATGTTTCCACTTGTAAACTACAACCACAAGGATGCCTATCAATAGCAGCAGCACAAGGGGAACGGTGAAAGGAACATAAAGTGCTGAATCTGAAAAGCAGAATGCAGTAAAAATACAAACTTCCTTTTTATGGTTTTCTGAAAGACACTTAGCAGAACTGTGGGTTTAGATTATATTTTATTAATAGTTGCAGCTGTTGACTACTGGTGCACACAACCATAGCTGTTTTTGCACTTAGGGTCATTTTGGTGTGACGTACATTCACCCCCAAGGGACTTACTGTAACTGTAGCCATGAAAATATAAAAGTAACCAAAGCTTATGGAGTGATAACATACTTGACCTCACAATATTAATGAATTGAAAAACACATATTGTATATACTGTACCTTTAACAGGTTGACCAGAAGTTTGTGTTTGAGCTTTTCCAAGAGTTTTCATTGTAGAAGTTTGAGTTTTTACAAGATTTTCTACTGTAGGAGGTACAGTTTTTCCAGGAGTTTTTACTGTAGAAGGTACAGTTTTTCCAGGAGTTTTTACTGTAGAA